CTCACCGTATAAAAGATTTGATCTAAAGGAGTTTTTTATAAAGCATTTTAACAGAATTTCACGGTAAAAAGTAGCCAGTAGTAAACAGAAATATTATTTAGAGCTTTAGGGCAAAAACATAACAAGGCAATGAAAGTACAATGTTATTAACGAATTCTTATGCACGTTTTGTGTCAGTTCTTATTTCTTTTTGCCGGAAAAACCTAAGTCATCGGAGTGAATGGAGAACAATCACTTTTACTTTCAAGGACATGAATTTAACAGATTTATAGTCAATTCACACGTGTCAGTTACGTCTCAGTGCGTTTGCCGTACCGTCTCATTCAGTCAACATTATATATGATGAAGATTCATTCATATCAGTTAAATTGCAGCCTCTATTTGATCGTACTCTCTTCTCTCACATATTAAAAAAGGTTTTTTTACACACTAAACTCAACATCTTAAAAATATTCGTCTAACGCCAGTCACTACAATGCTTTATAAACTTGTTAATCTGGTAACAGTGTGTTTGTGCTTCAGCTGGATTTTCCATAGCAACTGTTAAAGTTACCTTATATCTGTCAAAAATAGTAGATAAAATAGTACTGTAACCGCAAGAATAGATAATATATAATTAATAGCTATTTATGTAACTAGTACCTAAAATGATGTTTTTTAGGACGAATCATTACTGTTTGCGGACGAGGCGTTAGCCGAGTCCGAAATAGTAGATGAGTCCTAAAAAACATAATTTAGGTACGTGTTACATACACTATTTTTTGTCATACGCTTTTTACAGTTTTTTAGAACGCATATTTGCAAATTTTCCATATTTGAAATTATAATGTTTGAAAAAAGTTGGCTTATAAATTCATATCTTAGTAACGAGTTTGTTTATTTCATCGCATTTTGACATGTCATTCGAAATTTGTCACAAAATCACACAAATTCATCAACAATTTTAAAATGTTCCAAAATCCCGAACATATTGCTAATAAGGCCAAAGAAATCGTGTTGGATTTACTTCCTGTGAAGTCTCGTGCCATTTACCAGAAAGAATATGATGTTTTTAATGAATGGAAAGACAAAAATGGCGTATTCGTTGTAAATGAAGATGTATTGCTAAATTATTTCCACGAAAAAGTAAGTACCTAGGTACCTATTTAAAAGAGGCTTTTAAATTAAAATATTCTTAAATTACAGTCACAAACATTCAAACCATCGTCAATTTGGTCGAAATATTCCATGCTGAGAGCAGTGTTAAGTGTTAAAGAAGATATTTATATTGACAAATTTCCAAAACTTATTGCTTTTTTGAAGAGGAATTCGGTTGGTTACGAGCCTAAAAAGTCTAAGGTTTTGTCCATAAAAGAGATCGGTGATTTTTGGCCACGGCTAGTGATGAAACTTATTTACTTACTAAGGTAAGTTTGCGATAATGATTTTTAAAATATATAGATGGTTTCTTATTCCATTGTATTTGATTTTTAGGTAGCTCTTGTCATTGGCCTTTGTGGAGCATGTAGAAGAGAAGAATTGTACTTCTCTACGAGTGCAAGACATCATAGAAAAAAGACAACAGCTGCCTTTTTAGTTACCCCTTGCGGATACAAAAACTAATATCAAAAGAGTGTTTCCGGTGGTGAACGAAGGGAACGTTGTCAATCCAGTTGAGTTGTATAGAAAATATGCTTGTCTTAGGCCAAAAAAAATGTACCACATGATTATGTCTTGTTTGTGACTGTAATTTAAGAATATTTTAATTTAAAAGCCTCTTTTTAAATAGGTACCTAGGTACTTACTTTAAAACAAATAACTTAGCTTTTGATATTGTTAGTATTTAATAATTTAATTATAAATATATGTATAATTTTATGTGATTTTGTGACAAATTTCGAATGACAAAATAAAACAACCAAATAACGAATTTAGACATTTTAGTCCATAAAGGTTGCCATGACGACCTTTACGGCCTAGGCCGAAAAAGAAACATTTTACGGACTGAAATGAGTCCGTAAAATAGCTGTTTTTGGGAGCGTATGACAAAAAATAATTAACGTATCAATAAATGATACGTTAACAGCGAGGATAGGTTAAAAACTTTATTTCTTCTCGCACGTTTAATTGCTTCTATTTTTGAAAATTTTTGTATTCCTTTTCATAAGTTATTCGGGATTTAAATGGAAGTAGTTTGGATATGGCGTTTGTCGCCTCCGCCTGAATATCTGTTGGTAATTTACTTATTTCGTTTTGAGCCATTTCTGGTATTTCTGGAATTCCAATTCAATCAGCAATCGACACGAAAGAGAATTAAAAAAATTGATTCAAAACTGACAAATGAAGAGACAGCTTTATTTATTTGTCAAATTACATAGAAACCAACGCCAGCCCAGCAAAATATTTTTTCTACTCATAATAAACTCCTTGAAATAATAATTTCTGAATATTTTTTAAAACGTAACTCGCTGTGGAAAAAAATATTGATTTATACATGACGATAAAATTGCAATTTCGTCTCACTGTATTCTGCGTTCCCCGTTCTAATTTTCAACGAGCCAAACTGAATATAAAACACCCATTAACTAATTTAACTGTAAGCAAAACTCAGGCATATAAAACTTTCCAACTAATCTACCCTAACAACACTACAACTTCCGATTGCCTTTTAGAAATAATTGGTACGTAGTTCCTATAACGACTTCGACGAACTTGTTTACTAACGTTTTTCCTACGTTCAGAAGTCGCGAGGAAAAAATAAAGTATTCTTCATAGAGTTGTGTAGTTCACGATCGAACTAGTTCAAAAGATTGAGTCTCGTATGTGACTAAACGTTTCAGTGAATAATTAACTGGGATATTCCTGATTTTTCGGAAAATTCTACAATTTGTGTTTATAGTTTGTGATTTTATTAGTTTGTGCATTTTGATATTTACAATCGATCATCATTTTCGTGTTAGATACTAAACTTTTTTAATAAAGACATTTTAGACATTTTTGAAATAATAAATTTATGAACCAAATAAAAAAATAGTTTAATCATAAATGAATACGTAAGTACTACAGCTTTTTTATCGCTTTATACTCCGAAAAAATGGTTGATAGACACTTCAAAAAATTTTCTCCAAGTATGTGTGTGTGAGCTCTTAATTTTAATATACACACACCGGAAAAGTCTAGGGATATTACAATTTTATCCAGCCATCGTCAGTAATTTTATTATTTGCATTTCTAAAATAATAAAATTTAAATAAACAAATAGTTTCCAGGACGTATTGGAAATATAAATGCGAAATTTACCTCGATTTTTATTGAACTCAAAAAAATACACACATTTTTTTTTATTCTAAACTGTGAATTAAAAGAAAAAAAGATAAAACAATTTTTACTTAACAAAGTGTATGGCCTCCTCTACTGTTCATTACAGCCCTACATCGTCTCTCCATGCTCCTGATCAGGTTGTTGATCTCTTCTTGAGGTACAGCCTGCCACGCTGCATTCACGGCCCGAACCAGATCCCTACGAGTTTCACGAGGCATACCCATTCTCAAAATTCTTCTTTGGACCGCGTCCCATACGTGCTCGATGGGGTTGAGGTCAGGAGATTGTGCCGGCCAGGGTAAGATGTTTAATTGATGAGCATTGATAAACTCACTTACCATTCTGGCTGTATGAGGCCGTGCATTGTCATGCATGAGAATGAAGTTTCTCCCAAAATCATTGGCATATGGTAACACGACAGGCTCAAGAATTAAATCACGATATGTGATTCCTGTTAGAAACCTTTCAAGAAAAACGAGATCGGTTTTTGGCCTAACTGGACTCCTCCCAGACCATAACTGCTCCACCTTGATAAGGGTGCACTTCCTGAACATGATCCAACCGAATAAGATTTCCCGGTTCTCTCCATACCCTAAGCCTTCTCGAATCCGGATGAATTCCAAAGCGTGACTCATCCGTGAAGAGAACATTGGCCCATTGTTCATTCGACCACTGAACATGATCTTGAGCCCACAAATACCTCTCGATTTCCTCTCGTTAAGGGTTGAGATACTGATAAGGCGACCTGTATTTTTTTTGTAGTCCATTTTATACTCCAAACGGTTATTGCTCGAAATGCATTGGATAAATATAAATAATGAATAGAACCTTTTTTGTAGTAAATTTAGAAATCAGTTAAGTGAACTAAATTTCCCAGCTCTAGTTCTTCCTCCTTATTTCAATCCCTCTAGAACCCTCCCTCCTCCTGCCCCCTCTCAATTTTGCGGACATCTGCACCAGCAATGGCAACTTTCGAATATAAGCTTGTTAAAAGTTTGCAGCAAGTTCGAACCGTTTAAGGTTGGAAAACGTTTTTCTGCGAGTGCAACTGCAGAGGGAAAATGTTGCAGAGGGTCGCACACCTACACGGTTGCCAAGTTGGCAGAAAACATCTGCTCGTTTCGGAGTTTTTGTTTTTACAGCGTAAAGCGGGTCGTGGACGATACAGCAAGTTGTGTACGACAAGAAGTGTAGTGTACAGGGGGTTCCATTTTCGTGTGATCTGTGGGGTTTCTCGTTAATGAGTAGGGATACAAAGATGCAGTTTTCACATTACAGTGCAACTTTTTTATGAAACTTTTAAATAGTACACACTCTACATATTACTTTTTTACTTTATTTTTCTTGTATAATATAATATAGTCTATTCTTATTTTCATAAATAAAATAAAAAAATGCATTTAATTTTTTATCCAACAGCCACTGCTTATACACATGCATATAAAATAAATAATAACACCCGCGTGAGTTTTCAAAGCCACACCATTTTATAGAATTAGTTTTTGTATCTGGAATATGCACGATTAATGAAGTTCCTACATCCTCGATATTATTTAATGTCAAAAAGCAACAGTCAAAATTTGACGTTGAATAAATTATTCTATTGTTTTGATTACTTCTGTTAAAAACTACTAACGAACATTTTTTATAAAAAATATGTCCCTTTTGGCAATTTAATAATTGGTTTTTTATTGTTTCAGGATGGCAGAAGAGTCGAAGGGGGTGATTTAACTGTAAGCAAAGATGGCAATACCACAACCAGTATATTGCATTTCATTCCTGATGCCAGCGATCACGGGTTGACGATGTCCTGCAAGGCTTCCAATCAACGCATACCCTTTAGGTAAGGTATATTATCTATTATAAAGCATTTCACATTAAATTGGTATTAATTTAGAATCAATACACGTACTCAAATTCATAAAGAACGAAAAATTAGAATGACTAGTGGATATAAATTAGCGGGAAATAATGAAAGCAACTTGATATTCACAGTCAGATTATTGTACATTTTTTTGGCATTGTACAGTATTGAGCCTTTAACTAGTTCTGAGCTCGGGGTTGGCAGGTAAAGATCGTGCTCCGCATTCCTAAGTGGATAGTTGAGAGATGACCTTTCGGGAATAGTAGATATGTGCTTACGGATTAAGCAAACGGATTAAAAAATGAATAAAAAAGGAAGAGTCAGTATTTTGAAATTTTTAAAGAAATTCTGGCAGTGAGTTCTACTGTTCAGTCCCAATAAATATCGAACTGCTCTCTTTTTAAGTTTGAAAATACTATCAAATTTTGTTGCGCAGTTTTAAGTACCCCAGAATGGAAAGGCATAACGAAGATGTGACTCAAAAAGAGCATAATTAATTAAAGGCTATTCTAGAGGTTGATAAGTTAAGTTCCTTAGAAACTGATTCTAGCGCAAAACAGGTAGCGTTTAGTTTCTTTGATGAAGCTTCGATGTACAAGTCCCATTTTAACGAGTTGTCTACAACAAGTCCTAAAAATTTCACAGAGTCCACGACGTCATTAGTGGTGTTATTAAGTACAAAAGGTTGTATATTACTTTTATGACAAAACTTTAGTTTTTGATAGGTTGAGGCATATATAGGAGATTAGAATCGCACCAAGATTTAATGGTGCGTAAGTCACTGGATATAGTATTATATGTGCCGTAAGATCTGGGCCAATCCAAGTGAAACTAGTATCGTCCGCAAAGAGGCAGATTTTACCGCTAATGTCTAGATTTGCAATGTCGTTGATAAACACCAGAAACAAAATAGGGTCAAGTACTTACATTACATTTCTGTATTTTTTTTTTTCGTTGTTTAAAAAGCCTAAGAAATAATATTTTTAAATTCATGTATAAAATAGGCCAATAGACAGTTTTGTTTCAAATACAAACAGAAAAAACTAAAATTTCAATCTACTCCATAGTTTAACTCGCTTTACTGCTAAACCGTAGTATAAGTCAACTATATTAAAGATCCACAGGGGTCTCTATAGTTTTGTCGAAATGCTCCTTCTGCGATTATTTTATTCAATTCTTATTTTATTTCACAGCAAACGTCAAACTAACTTACACTGCTGACGAAGAAATACAAGAGTTTGAGATAATTCACTCTCAAAAAATAGTTCTTTTTAAAACTGAATATTAACAATCTACCTAGTCCATTTGAGACTTTCCTGTAAAAATGTCTTTATCGGTACCTTCTACTAGCATTTTTCATTAACTCAACCAACTATCCGCAAAAACAATTCCATGCTCTACTTTTTAAGTGAATTTCCATGTCTAAAATTTAACACCACCCCTTTCTTTCAGCGAAATACAACGAACCTGGATGCTGAAAGTGCTCTATCCGCCCAAAGTCAATATGACTCTGGGCCACAGTCTCGACGCGGGCAACATCAACGAAGGCGCTGACGTCTATTTCGAATGCCATCTGGTGGCCAATCCTTGGGTAAGTCATTATGACTTGAAATGTCATTTTTTAGGAATTACCGACTGTGTTACCGACATGAGTAATTCTATTTTATCTACTTAGTTACTAGTAACTTCATGTATGTTCAATAGGAGGATAATATACTTTATTTACAACCACATAACTATGTAATACTGACTTTAAAAAAAGGAAAGTGTCAAATTATCTACATTTCTTCCCCTTTCCATTTCCCTCACCCATTTCCCTCACTCGGTTTTTTCTTATTTCTCGCCTCATTTAATTAAACAAAATATTCTTGTAATATCTTTATTAAATACTTATCTAACATCAACCAAAAAAAAACAAGAAGATTAACAATAATAATTGAAGATTTTAATACATTTATTTGTTGAAATTAACGGTCAAATTCTGGTAAAAATGCTAGACTACTTTGGCTTAAAACCTACATTCTGGCGTTTTAAAAAGCGACGAGTTTGTGATATTTTAATATGTCACTCTTTTCCCTTAATTCTATCATTGACCGTATCATGCTGTACGTTAGTGATGCAAACAACGATAATAACAAGGATAAAATCTTATATTAATTATGTCAACTAAAATTTAAAAAACGTGCGGAATTACCTAAATGAAAAGCGACAACAAACGGCAAAGGGACAGACCGCCGCCGGCGCCGGGTCGACATGAGCCAATCATAATAATTGCAATAAAAATATCACACATTTGCCATCCAAAACACCGGCCGGCGTCAAGTCAACACTTTAAACATAAACATATTGATAACAACTAGACCTACGTCGAAGTAAGGAATATTTCAGTATCGAGTTTCGAGTCCTCGGTTCGTGCATTTCTAGGGATTACGATTACTGCCAGCGCAAAAGTAACGAATTAGGTTAGTAACGAGTAACGAGTCCTAAATTCGAATGGTAAGCGTTACTTCGAGTCCTCGCAAAAACATCGTTTCCTTTTGAGCCTTCCCAAACACCCACGATTTTTTTCTTTCTGCGTACATTCTTAGCATTTCTTTCGGCACACCATTTTTGATATACTTTCAATGCTATTTCATATCGTCCCCTATTTTTCTCTGGAAGTAAACTAGCTTCTGCTCTTTTTGCAGCTTCTGTAAGTTCTGGTAGAGTACCAATATTAAATTATAATATTAATAATAATCATCTTTATTTCACATTGTGTATGAATTTACAGAGAATCTGAAAATCACAAAGAAAATGGTGTCACAGAAAATGAAGGTCTTAAAAATGTATTTTTTTTTATAAATAAACTATTATATCATACCCACACACATGTCTATGTCCCCTCCAGAAAGTCTCTGACCGAGTATGGTTCCATACCAATGATGAGTGCCTTAAGGTTTTGTTTGTTATTAAAGTAGTCTTCATTATCAGAACTTTCTGGCTTTCTCTGTTATATAAATTCGATAAAGCGAACGAGAAATTCAAAACTGTCACTTAGTTGTTTGTTTTGCTGTTGAGGGTTTGCGCCATAACAACCACTGGTACCGTTAACTATAGATATGGAAATGCCAAAACAGAAAACGACAAATTTTCGCAGATTTGTTTTCTTTCAAAATAAAATACTGTCCCTATTTTTAATTAAATTTTATTTTTTAATTAGATTTTATCTATTCATTATGATAAAACTTTTAGGTGTCTATGTCTAACTATTCAATCATATAATGTATATTTATAAAGACAGATCGATATGGCTTTGAGATCTGTACTGGAACTTTATGACTGTGGCTTGACTGTTTATTTACAGCGTTTTGAGTTTAGTGCCTTGCTGGATATGTCAAGATACTACCGATATAACTTTTTTACGTCCGTGTATCGATAAAATTGGATTTAACTCGCCTGTTTTGTGTTCAATTTATTAAATTCAACTGATCTGAAATCTAATACATCGTCATATAATTTGATTTTAAATTTATATAAGGTTCTTTGATTTTTTTTTGAATATTAGCTTCTTTTTGGTATACTCGCCTTTGTACAGGGTGGGTCAAATTCGACGCTTTTAAATGGAAACACCCTTTTCTATAGGAGATAGACGAAAACTAATATCGGTGTCTGGAGCTCAATTTTTGTCAAAAACATGATGGTGAAAACCGCATATCAATATCTGTTACTGTTTCGGAGTTACGGGGTGTTTTTCAAAAATATGCATTTTTAACAAATCGCTGTAACTTTTTTGCTATGGAAAATTTTGTATTTTTATGAAAACATTTACAAAGCACCTTTTTACATAGAATTTAATGGTTTAAGTATAATTTTTTTAAAATTATTAATTTAAGAATTATCAACAGAAAACTTGATTTTTAATTTATTGAAAAGAATTTAAAATTACCTTTTCAAAAATATAACACACTTGATATTTTGCTCGATTCCCTCTTCGAGATAGAGAGTATATAAAAATTCGCCCGCTTTAAATAAGTAGGCTTTGAACGGCACCGGCTGTAATGCAAAAAAATTCTAGTTGTGAGCATCAATTAAAACGAAAATAATTATTTGCTATGAGAGATGTAGAATTTTATAACAATTTAAAATATATTTAACCAACATCAATACATTTAAACTATATCTAATAACAATAAAAATAAATAGCAAACCAAGACGAGATTTTGCTACAGGTGTTCGACATATCGACCGTTTTCTGTTATGGACAGACGGGGCAGTTTTTGAACATTTCTTGCGGAATTCATTAACTCAGTAGGGGTGAAAGATACCCTCCCATAACTGCTAATTATTTCTAATTCTTGTCTAGATTATACGGAAGAAAAAGGAACCTTTATTCTCTCTCAAATATATCCATAGGATTAGATCCATGGGCACTAAGTCAGGCTGCCTCGACGGCCAACGGCTGGGATCTTGGTTAGCTATTCAATTATTCTTAAAATTGGCTGCAAAAATTTGCTGATAACTTCAGCGTTCAGAGGCGGTGCGTCGTCTTGCTGGAAAAATATGTTTTCGAGTTCCATTAAGGGCATATCATCAATAAGGGGGCATATCATCAAAGAGGCATATCATCAAAGCCTACTAGTTAAAACTGGCGAACTTTTAAAAATTCTGTATTTCGAATATCGATTATAACAAAATATCAAGTGTGCTATATTTTTGGAAAGGTAATTTTAAATTATTTTCAGTTAATTAAAAATATAGAGGGTGTCTCAAATAAAAAATCAATTTTTCTGTTGATAACTCTTAAATTATTAATTTTAAAAAAATTATACTTAAACTATTAAATTCTACGTAAAAAGGTGTTTTGAAAATGTTTTCATAGAAATACAAAATTTTCCATAGCAAAAAAGTTACAGCGATTTGTTAAAAATGCACATTTTTGAAAAACACCCCGTAACTCCGAAACGGTAACAGATATTGATGTGCGGTTTTCACTATCATGTTTTTGATGAAAATTGAGCTCCAGACACCGATATTAGTTTTCGTCTATCTCCTATAGAAAAGCGTGTTTCCATTTAAAAGCGTCCAATTTGACCCACCCTGTACAGGGTAATTTAAATTCTACTCCTACCTAGGGATTATGTTTTCTTATAGGCTGTTATGCAGCTGAAAAAAGTGACAGTGAAAAGGTGCTTTTAGTTTTGGAATACATTGTCACAAACATTGTCAAATAACGTCAGAAATTTAAAATCGAGAAGAGTGGAGAATGTAGAATGTAGACTGTAGAATATAGACTATAAAACTTAACACTATAAACTATAATGTCTGGAGTTTAAAAAAATATATATTAAATATTGTATAAGACAAATTGTAGGTATAATAAAAATATTTTTGAATATATTTATTTTTGGCTATTGGTTAAAACATGATGAGAAAAAAGAAGAAAGCAAAATCCTGTAAAAGCAATATGAAATATATTATACTGGAATATGTTGTTCGTATATACATATTTTATTTCTTTTTATGTGAATATTCTGGGAGGTATAACCTTGTATTTATAAAAAAAACAGGGATGGGGTATGATTCGTTCCAGTCTGCCGTCAAAGAACGTTGATATATTATATAAAATAATGGAGACAGGCTATAGGGTGGCCTAAAAACATTTGAGGAATATATTAATGATAACTTAAGTATCTTTATTGATATAGTAATAACAGATAACCACATTTTTTTACATAGTGTATTTGTTTTAAACTTTTGTATTTTATATCATTTTTTGAATAGCATTGCTATCAATCAAAAGTTGACATATGATATGTTATTCAATTCAGAGTGTCATTCTCTATCGAATAAAGTAAAAAAATACCGAGGGTGTCTTTTAAAAATCAAAAGTTGTAGTCATTTCCGGTAAAACAGGAAGTGACCAAAAACAATGAATACTTCAATCAATCCTAATTTATGTCATATACTAATGTTAGTATATTGGTATGTACCAAATATCGTTTTTTTTTATTTAAAAAAATAATGAAGTTATAGAGGTGGACCAGTTTTTAGACGCACCCGGTATACTGTTTAGTTTTTAGCAGATGACATCTATTATAAATTATTGACGTTCTATTAAAATGACATTACATGAAAAATAAAACACTAAATCACCACAATACACCAAAACACTTTTACTTTTACACTGGACGCGCGTTTCGCTAACCATGTTAGCATCATCAGCAGATGATTATAAATTAAACTACAATCTACAATTTGAGCGTTTATATACTCGCTCAGTGGGCACCAAGTGAGCGTGGCAAGATCTAGCCAACCGAGTCAGAGCCCACCGAGCGCAACAGTTAGATTTCCGCCACTAGAGTAGTAGGAACAAAGAACTTGAAGGAATTGGACCGATGTCTCTGTTCATACTATCTTTACATTTATTAATTCTGATGCTGTCATATGCATCTAATTGCCTATAATTTGAGACTTGTTTAATTAATTTTAAATTATTAAGATCTATACAATGTTCTTTATTAACAATATGTTCGGCAACGCAAGATTTATCCGGTCTACCATATGTTATCTGAGCTAAATGTTCTTTAAATCTAGTTAATATTGATCTTC